AGTGTAAACTGAACGGAACTATAACTTCTGCAGCATGCACTGGGGAGCGAGGGGAGGACTTTAGCCATATCTCTCTCTTCAGAGTCACATCTGTATGTCCAATATCCTAACAGAAATTTTCACCTGGTTGCCCACAGGTACCTCTGACTCGACATATTCCAACGTAATTATCTGTCTTATCTTGGACTCGACACTAGAATGAGCTCCAAAAAGCAGTCCACCCCAACGTGAGGCTAAAACAGGAGCAAACCAAGGTTAGATTCTAGGGGCAAAGTGAGAACAAGATGCTAAAACCTGGGCTGTGGGACAGATGGAGTAGTACCAAGTTCACGAGGCTGTAGACATCAAATCTAATCACTAGCAAACTGGAAAATCAGAATCAGTGTTGAATTCGATGACACAAAAATTAAGAATTTACATTACCAAAGATCTATAGGTAAAGTTAACGGATGGGGACAAAGTTGAGAGGTAATAGTTACGGTCTAAAATTAACAAAGAATCAGTATCTAGAATATACAAGAAAGTCCTCAAAATCAGTAAGAACTCCAGTAAAAAAAGCTTCAAAAGACAGCTATAAGCAATTCAAAGAAGGAAAATTAAAATAGTTAATATCCATGTGAAGCCTCAGTAGTAAAGAGCGAAATAGAAATACAAAGTGAGACACCACTTAGGACACAGTAGACCGGTGACAGTTAAACAGGCACCAGCTATGGAGCAAGGATGTGGAGAGATGCACTAGTAATGGGACTGTGCCTCCTACTCCTGCTGGAGAGCGGGGCTGCAGTACTTTAAAGTAAACTGCATACATCCTACGACCCGGCAACCTACTCTCAAATATGGGTAACAAAGAGAGATTATTATCCAGTCCAACAGGAACGCCTGTCAAGAGGCTGTTTATCCACTGCCTTGTCAGTGGTAGGACAGACTTGGCAGCAACTTAAGTGTCGGGAGGAGTACAGATGTATAAAATCCGACGTATGAAAATATCGTGTAACAATCATGGACAATAAATCATATGTGTGTGTATATACTTACATAGACTGGGTCTCCCGGGAAGCGAACCCTAAGACAGGCAGGATGTGTACGAAGGAGCTCACTTGGATCAATACCCGTAGAAGGGGGTGAAAGGAAGCAGAGTAAATAGAGGGGCAAGCTGAGCTGTGCTATTCTTTATCGAGTTGAAGAAGTTCCCCTCTCTTCCTAGTTTACTGAGAGTTTTTACCATGAATGGGTGTTATATTTTGTCATGCTTTTTCTGTATCTATTGCTATGATTACGTAATTTTTTCCTCTTTAGCCTGTCGATGTAATGGATGACATTAGTTGATTTTCAAATGTTGAACTAGCCTTGCATACCTGGGATAAATCCCACTTGAAAGGCTATTTCTATTCAATGTTGGATTTAATTCGCTAATATTTCATTGAGGATTTTTGTTCCTATGTTCATGAGAGATATTGGTCTGTAACTCCCTTTTCTTGTAATGCCTTCATCTAGTTTGGTAATAAGGTAGCACTGGTCTCATAAAATAAGTTAGAAAGTATTCCATCTGCTTCTATCCTCTGTAAAATATCTTCCTTAAATGTTTGCTGAAATTTACCAGTGAACCCATCTGAGCCTGAAGCTGATAAGTTTTCATTGTGTTACAATTTTTTTTCTCATGTTAGACACACTTAACAAAATGAAAAACAAACAAAAGCATTAGAATTTATATTTTCAGTGTATGACAAATAATTACGGCCTACATTTTATAAATAATTTTTGTGAATCAATAAGAAAAAAGAAAACTCCATCAGAAAAATGGACATTAAAAAGTCATAAAAAAGAGAACTACAAATAGCTACTGAGCATAAGAAAATTGTTCCATATTCTGAATAATATATGTAAAAAGTAAGACTAGTTAATTCAGGTTTTCAGCTATCAATAGGCAATAGCCAGTATAAAATAGGGTATACTTAAGAGGAAGTCCTTAAGAGAATTAGTAAAACCTTGTCTGGATAGAAATTCTGCAATGCATATCAATAGTTTTAAAAAGGTCCATAGTGTTGATTTAATGTTAATCCTCCAGAAAAAAATTAAAATAGCGCATAGATTTTTATCTTGAAATATTTCTACTTGAAAGCGTTCATAAAAGAACTAGTAGAAGCAACTAAAATAGCAATTCCTTTAGAGTACAGGTTGGCGATAGAAGGCACGTAGGTTAAATCTAACCCCTCAAAAAGGACAAGATTTTCAAGAAAAAATTATAAAAGCATTGAAAGACATTAAAGAAGACTAAAATAACACAATCACGGTAGGAAAGCTCAATATCATAAAATATTAACTCTCACTGCAAAATTGTATGTTCTAGGCAATTTCAATCGAAATCTACATAGGATTTGATTCCAAAATGTATATGGAAATGCAAATGGCTGAGAATAAGCAAGACACTCCTACAGAGGAGAAGGCTGATTGTAAAGCGATAGCATTAATCCATTGTGGATGTGGCACAGTAATAGGCAACTATGTCAACAGATCAGAATAAGAATCTAGGAACAGAAGGCACGCATATATGGAAATATGCGGTAAATGATAAAGAAAGAGCGGGCACTACAGATCAGCAGGGAAAGAATGTAAATAAATTGTGCTTGGGTGATAGTTATTCACATAGAAATAAATAAAAATGGATCCTGCTCACACACCACACACACACACACACACACACACACACACACACACACACACCCCAGATAAATTAAAGACAAATGTGAAGAACTTTAAAATTTTTATAAGAAAATGCAGAATATTTCTATAACCTCAAGATGATGAATAATTTCAAACACTAACATAAATGAAAGGATTAATAAATCGATTACATTGAAATTAAGAATTATCGATAATCAAAATAGAAAGGAATAAAAATAACAAGCCATCTAGTAGGATAATTGCAGTATATTTATAAAGAATTCCCACAAAATAAGAAACAACTCAACAGATTAATGTGCAAAAGACACAGAGGATGAAATATGAGTCTCCAATAACATTTAAAAAATACACCGCCAAACTGCTAATAAAGGAAACACAAATTAAAACTGCAGTAAAGTGCCATTTTGTTCCCATCTGATTGGCAAAGAAATTACCTCTTGGTGAGAACTGGTGAGGATCTAGCAATAAAATTTTATGTATTGCTAATGATTGTTTAATTGGTATAAGCACTTGGAAAAACAATTTTGCATTACTCAGCACAGTTGGAAAAAAAATATGCCTTTTTGCTCAGAAATTTCACTCTTTAGCAACCAACCAACCAACCAATCAATAGTAAAGGAGACATATACAAGAATGTTCATAGCAGAATTATACATAATAGCAAAAACAAAGACTAACAAAAACCAAAATTTCCATCAACAGTAGAATGAGTAAATAAACTGTTTCATTAAGAAAGGATACACAGAAGACAATAAAGACTTTTGAGCTGGGTAAGGTCTAATATGGGTGTTTGCTTAATTATACTTTAAATTGCACATGTGCAGTATACCTTTGCAAGTATGATATATTTAATAACGACCTTACAAATAAAGTGCATATATATTGTACAAAGTTCAGGCTATATAAAAATGCACATATAAGAAAGTAAAAATTATCTAGAGTCCCACCACCCACAGATAACCATTGTTATTTTGTTGCACGTTTCCAGACTTCAAATCAGGTAAATGTGCATATTTAACATTACCTAATACATGTGGACATTTTCTGCTGTTACCAAACCTACTTAAAATATTTAAAAATATGTATATATAAAGTACATATTATACAGTGCTCTCTCATAAAAATGCTGCTTTGGCCGAATAGGACAAGCATCTACCATAGAGAGTTTAATCCCAAGAAAATAATGCCAGGTGGGGAGATGGAGGTATAATTCTTCATGGCAAGAAAAGATTTCCTATTTCAACAATTTTCACATCTGGCTTTTGCCATTTTTAAGTTAATGACACAATCAAAAAGACTACTCCAGAAAGAAGCAAAGAGAGTTGGACGTATACAGGAGCGGGGGCTGGGGGAGAGGCTGCTACTTTAGATCGAGTGGCCTCCCCTGACCATTGCCGTGGACAGCAGCGTACCGCATCACTCCATGGCTCCTTATCCTCCCTTGTTTTCCCTCGTAGTGCTCATGACTTTATCTGTCTCCCTCGGCAGGCTATAAGCTGCAGTGGATCTGTTCTGCCCGCTGCTGCCTTTCAGTGCCTAATTCAGTTCCTGGTATGTAGGAAGCATTCAGCGGTCCATGAACAAATGGACCAAATGAGATAAGTGTGATTATAGCTTTCTACAGGGAGCAGGTGTATGAGTTTGTTTGGGGCAGGAAATTGTATTATTCATAAATCCTATTTTTAATTCTAAAACTTATTCATTTCACTTATTATTTACTTATTTTTCATTCATTCATTCGTTAAAAATCTGTGTTTATATTTTTCAAAGACCGTTTTACCTCATTAATATCAGCTTCTGTTTTTACTTCGGACTTCAGAACAGAAGTAGCACGTAAGTGTGAATAAACGGGTTCTTCACATTCGGTTGTTGTCTTTCCAGAGATGTCCTTGTATATTCTAGATTAAGAAATGGGAAGAAAAAAAGTATTTTTAAACTCTTCTATCTCATGAACGTTCAGAATGCATAAATGACATTGATCCAAAGAAGATATACATATGCCCATGAAAAGATGCTTAGCATCATCCATCATTAGGGGAATACAGATCAAGACCTCAAGGAGGTATCACTTCACACCAGTTAGTATGCACAGTATATTTTCGAAAAGGAAAATAATAGTGTCGGTGAGGCAGAAATCTGGTCCTTTGATGGTGAAAATTAAAACGGTACAGCTACTGTGGATGACAGGAGGAAGTTCCTCAAGAAGCTAAATGTGGGATCAGTACGTGGTCCAGCGAATCCACCTCCGGGTACGTAAACAAAAAGAATTAAAAGCAGGAACTCGAACAGATATTTGCACATCTATGTTCATGCATCATTTCCCACAATAGCTCAAATGTTAAAACAACCCAAATATCCATCAACAGATGAATGGATAAACAAAATGTGATGTATACATACAATGGGATATTATTCGGCCTTAAGAAGGAAAGAAACTGATACATGCTACAGACTTTGAAAACATCATGCTAAATTAAATAAGCAAAAGACAACTACTGTATGATCTGCTTATATGAGGTACTTAGAACAGGTCAATTCAGAGAGACAGAAAGTATAATAGAGGTTACGAGGGCCTGGTGGGGGCTGTGCACAGAGTATGAGGAGTTACTGTTTAATCCATAAAGTTTCAGTTTGGGATGATGAAAAAGTTCCAAAAATGGATATACTGATGGTTGCATAGTGCTGAATGTACTTAATGCCACTGAATTACACACTTAAAAATGGTTAGAATGATAAGTTGTATGTTATTTATATTTACTATCATGAAAAATTCCTATATCTCATTTCAAGAGGAGGGGGAGCTAAAAATATTCTATAAGCCTCAATGGGCGGTGGGGAGAAATAGAAAAAGGGAACATTTTATAGAAAAGTAAATATTTACAAATACATATACTAATAGGGAAATAGAATTTTAATCCTAATTATTAGAAAGATGGAGAAGTCATAAACATACCAAAATGCATAAAGTACTCTAAATCTTAAGGTGAAAGGGGGCATTGGGAATTAAGAGATATATGACCGAAATCAGCAAAAGTAGGAAAACTGGAAAAGGAAAGAGGTAACAAAGTCAAATAAATAATGAGATAAATAAAATGAAAGAAATAAAATTGAAGACCATCGGTCACATTCACTAAATGTGAATAGGTTCAATTTTCCTACATTCTTTGTATTGTCTCCTGCTCAGACTCTGCTGCTTTTAATAAAAAATTATTTTTATAAAAAAAAGGCAGAAACTATCAGATTGGGTTAAAAAGCAAAATCAAGCCATAATAAGATAAGATTCATATTTGAATATGAGATGAAAAAGTAAGGTTAAAAAATAAAGCTATTGGGAGTTTCTGGCAGCAAAAGAATAGCGCGAAATCATTTTTTTAAATTGATGTACCACTGACATATGACCTTAGTTTCAGATGGACAGTATGATTCAATATTTGTATTTACTGTGAAATGATCAACACAACAAGTCTAGTTACCATTCATCACCATACGAAGTTATAGTTTTTTTTCCCTTGGGATGAGATCGTTTAAGATTTACTCTCTTAGCAACTTTCAAACATGAAACACGATATTATCGACTACACTCACCGTACTGTACATCATATCCCCAAGACGTATATTTCATAACCGGAAGTTTGTTTTCTCTGACCCCTTCACCCATTTTGCCCATTCCCCCACCCCAGTTCCCTCTGGGAACCAACAGCGTGTTCTCTGTATCTATGAGTTTTGTTTGTTTTGTTTTTAGATTCTACATATGAGATCATACAGTATTTGTCTTTTTCTCTGACTTATTTCACTTAGCATAGTGCCCTCAAGGTCCATCCATGTTGTAAATGGCAGGATTCTTTTTTTTTTTTTTTTTTTTAAGGCAAAGCTAGTTCTTTCAGCAGAGAATTAAAATTAAAAGCAGACAGAAGCTGGATAATAAGTACCAATAAAAGCTTTAGCTGACATAGCTTCAATTTATAAATCACTGGCTTTTCCTGGCAGGCCTTGGGGAAGGCCAGTGGCTGCACCAATATACATTCCCACCAACAGTACATGAGGGTTCCCTTTTCTCCACATCCTCACCAAAACTTGTTATTTCTTGTCTTTTTGAAAACAGCCATTCTAACAGATGTGAGGTGGTATCTCATTGTAGTTTTGATTTGCATTTCCCTGATGATTAGTGATGCCGAGCATCTTTGCATGTACCTGTTGGCCATTTGTACAACGTATTTGGAAAAATGTCTAGTCAGATCTTCTGCCGATTTTTTAATTGGCTCTTTTTTTTTTTTGCTATTGAGTTGTATGAGTTCTTGATATATTTTGGAAGTCAACTTCTTACTAAATGTATAATTAGCAAATCTCTCCTCCCATTGGTAGGCTGCCTTATCATTTTGTTGGTGGCTTCCTTTGTTCTGCAGTATTCTGATGTAGTCTCACTTGTTTCTTTTTGCTTTTTGGAGTCAGATCCAAAAAATCAGTGCCAAGACCTATGTCAAGGTGCAGTATTCCAATGTTTTCTTTCAAGAAACAGTGCTGGGAAAATTGTATATCAATAAGCTAAAGGATAAACTTAAACCGCTGTCTCACACTATATACAAAAATCAACACAAGATACATCAAAGATCTAAAGGCAAGAGCTGAAATTGTAAAACATTAGAAGAAAACATAGGTATAAATCTTCATGACCCTGAATTAGGCAATGATTTCTTAGAACTTAAACCTAAAACACAATCTAAAGAAATAAAGAAATAAAGAAATAAATTGGGCTTCTTCAAAATTACTTTTATGACCCAAAGGACATTTTCAAGAAGGTGGAATTAGAACCCAACTGGTCTGACCCCACAGAAAGATGTACTTGAACCACTACCCATATATTCCTCCTATAACATAAAAAAGTGTATACAGGACATGTTGTATTTTTTTAAATGAGCTATAAATAGTACACCATGATGATAAAAACAGGAAGACATATAGAAAAAGTCTAGAAGAAATTACACCAAAATAATAAGACACTGTGTTTAAGTGATGGAATTAGGGTGATTTTTGTTCTGCAAATTTTCTGGAATATAATGAATTAACTATAATAATATATATTTTTAAATTATGTTAAGAATTAAAGACTTTTCCTAAACACACATACACAGTTTTAGAAGAAATGAAATGATAATGTGCTATCACTAAATAGTTGCATTCTTACAGGTTAGAGTCCCAGCACTGATTAAAATCAGTTATGAGACCTTAGATAAGTGATTTAAGCTCTGTGGATTCAGTAATAAACTAGGAAAAAAACAACATATTATCTATCTTCAAAATTTTATGAATTGATATATCTTTAACTCTCTAGTGATGAGGCTAAAACTAATTTGACTAAAATGATACTGCTAAATTAACAGTTTGGACATACAGTAGTCCACAATTTCAATTACATTCCATATTTCACAAATAATAGACCCAGTTGTGAAGATAAGAAAAATGTTTTCAAAACACTAATAGTTAAATAGAAGTTGGAAATATTTTATACTCAATAGATCTTACTATGGAATTGACTCAAATTCCAACTGAAATTTGTGGCGCCTTCAAGAATCTCTGTTGTGTCTTTATGAACTAGCTCTGAACTTTGAAGAGTACAGTATACCTATACAGAGAATTGCCAGATTTAGCAAATAAAAGTACAGAACACCCAGTTAAATTTGAATTTCAAACAAATAATAAATTTTAGTAGAGGTAATATTTGGGACATACTTATACTAAAAAATTATTTGTCGTTTACCTGAATTTCAAATTACACTGGATATCCTGTATTTTATATGGCAATCTGACATATGCGGAATTTTTTTAAAAATTGGGAAATTTTCTTAAACTTTATGGACCATATTAAGTATTAGCAGATAATAGTTCAAATAATTGCAAAACTAAATACACATAATTTTCTATAAGAAGGATTATCAAATTCTAGCTTAAATTATTAGATATTTTCTCTGTAAGTGGCAATATTTAAAACATTATGATTATAAATTTATAAGTAAAAAAAGTATAATTTACTTGATGAGATTTTCATTCTTTTTTTCCACTGAACCTGGCATTCTAGCAGAATTATTAAATAATTCCAAAAGTAATGTGACTGCGGTGTTCATTAGTTGACGGATAAGTTCCTGAAATATGTAGTCCACCAGCATCAGAAATCTCAAAATTGTTTCTAATAAACGTCTATATCTAGGCAGCTTGAAATGTATTGTGTCATCGTCAGAGATGTTTGGCTCAAAAAATTCTCTAATTTCTTTCTGCTCTGCCACCTGTAATTCAATAAACAATTAAGAGACAAGCAATGATTTCCTGTGTTAATATAGCATGATTTCTAATTTATGGGATTTTTATTAGTCTGAATAACATATTACAACATTATCAACAATTTCCGTTAAAACTTTACTTTATGCTTACACCGTATTTAAACATCAGATGAAAAGAAAACAACTTATGTGTTTTGAAGTCTACGAAGCAGGTAAGTTTATAAAACTCAAACAGGAAGTACATATTAATGAATATCTGTGGGACCGTCTTCAAATACACCGAGAGTCAAGTTTAAATATAAGGTTTCCTAAAATGCAGTCCGACGCTGCTTCCTTTATGCTAGGCTATAGCAATTAGACTCAAAAAAACCCTCCATAGAACACATATATGCTACATCATTAAACAATTAAGAAAAAATTTAAGTTCATCAAATCTGATGTTAGAGTTTTATTTTTTAAATAATGTAATTAATAGAACTACATCTCTTAAGAAAACTGACTTAGTAAGTTACTGGAGAATGGTATGTTTTGATCAAAAACGGAGGGTTAGCATCAGTATTCCTGGAACCACCAAACTTCTAAATTGTGATCCTAAAAATAATCTGGACATGACTCGAAATGGTTCCTTTTAGACACATAAACGTTTTATTACTGCTGGCCCTTTAAAATTCTAAAAATATTTCCAATTTTTATTCTTTTATTGGTTGTTCATGTTTTTTAGTCTTTGCTCCACTGACACTTAAATATTTGGTGCATAGTCATCCTTTTGTATTATAATTTTTTAAAACATAATTAATCGCATGAGTTTTTCTACTGCTTCTCCATGTTTCATTTTATTCATTTGTATTTTCTTTTTTTAATTACTTAGGTCTGTTGTTTACCAATTTGGCAAATTTTTTCCAGTACTGGCTGACTTTCTGGAGGAATGTGATAAAGTATATTACTGATACAATAGCTGCTTGAAGAAACTGGACTAAAAGAAGACAGAGTAATTTCTATACCAGTTATGGGCATAGCCACCCTGGGCCTAACAAATGGAATACTAATTTTTAATAGGTTGTGTTTTTACAGAAAAGGTTATGTTTTCCCAGGAGTGGCCACCTGATTTGAAAACTTTATGTGCATAAGGTATGGATTTTTAATTGGTAAAACGGTGAAGCTGAGCATCTTGACCATAAAGACTTTTAGCATTGGTACTAAAACGGTTTTAATTACCTTTTAAATAGCTTGAATCAGTACAGAAGTATACAGTGACAGGCCTTGTAATGCTGGTCTTTTATAAATACTGGTGAGGCTGATGGAAATTCTGGCTTTCGATAGATTAACTGAATCTCTGTGATCACAGGGTTCGTTCTGGGTCAGGTGCATCTCCACTCTGACTGTGAGCTGCCACACTGCTTCCGTCAGCTCCACACCTGTCCTAAGGTTTCCCGGAGCTAGGCCGTTCCACACCTCGCCCAGAAGGATGCTCTTCAACCTAGCCGTATTTTAGATTCACTCGAGGAGCTTTAATGGGGCTGCCTGGGCTCTAACATCAGAAATTCTGATTGAATTAGTCAGGAGGGTCCCAGATATCAAAGTTTATTAAAAGTCTCCCTGGTGACTCTAGCGTGCAGCCTAGAGTGTGGCCGTAGAGTAGGCAGGCATTTCAGTTTTAAAAATTCATCTCAAACGGTAGTGCAGGAGCCTCTGTCTCCCATAAAAGTCAACAATTAGACAGCTATCCATGAAATAAACAAATAAACAACAACAACAAACCAGCTCTGGAAGAGCTCTTGAGTCCACTTATAAAACTTCAGCAACGCAGTGGAACAAAACACCTAGGAATAACTACAGAAAAAAGGAAGGAAGACAGCTTCGATTTGCCTGCATCACCCCATTCCCAGCAGGCACCGTTCAGCAGCAAGAGGGGTCTCCCCAGCTGGAAAGTGTC